AAAATAATGCTAAGCTCAAAAAAAAAAAGCTGTATTACATTACTTGACTTCAAAATATACTACAAAGCTATAGTAAGCAAAACAGCATGGTACTAACATAAAAATAGGCACGCAGAATCCAGAAACCAGAATTAAATCCATGCATTTATAGCCAACTCATTTTCAACAAAGGTGCCAAGAATATATACTGGGGATAAACAGTCTTCAATAAATGATACTGGAAAAAAAGGATAACCATACGCCTAAGAATGAAACTATACCCCTATCTCTCATCACATACAAAAATCAAATCAAAATGGACGAAACACTTAAACGTAAGACCTGTAACTGAAAGCATCTTTGCAAAAATTATAACCAAGGAAATTATGACAGTGAAAGAGATCAAACCTAACCTACTCTACCTTGCATCTAACCTTTTAAGCTGTCCTTGTTCATTCCTGGGTGTAAGCCAAACTAACCTTGGGAAATAATTCAGTTTATGATTTGACTCTGAAACAAAATTGATGGTGGCCCTTTCCTGAAAAGACCTTCTTCTTGCTTGAGGACCAGTTTGCTTTTGTAGGACTAACAAATTAGCTACAAGATTAGAAATTATGGTTAGGGGTCATACAGAGTCTGGCTGCAAGAGTACGATCCTCCCCAAATTGCTCCTAGGGATAACATGGCTATTTTAAAATCCAAGGTCAGTATTTGAGATAGTTTGCAGAGCTCACATTCAGTGGATTAGCTGATACTACCAAAACCAGTAATCTGGCTCACCCAGTTCTGTGATCCCACCCAGGAACAGAAGAACTCACATAGACCCCATATGACTTCATTTTCAACCTGACAATCAACGCTCCCCACTTTCTGAGCCCCTACCTGCCAAATTATCTCTAAAACCTTCAAACCCCGAGTTTTTGGGAAGACAGAATTGAGTAACAATAAAACTCCAGTCTCTCACACAGGGGCTCTGTGTGAATTACTCTTTCTCCATTGCAATTCCCCTGTCTTGATAAATCAGCTCTGTCTAAGCAAAGTGAACGTGTAGGGCAGTTACAAAACTATAGCACTACCAAAAGTAAACACTGGGGAAATGCTTCATGACATTGGTCTGGGCAAGGGCCTTGAGTAAGACCTCCAAAGTGCAGGCAACAAGAACAAAAATAGACAAAGGGGATTGCATTAATCTAAAAAGCTTCTGGGTAGAAGAAAACGTTGATTAAATGCTTCAGGACATTGATCTGGGCAATGACCTTTTGAGTAAGACCTCAAAAGCACAGGCAACAAGAACAAAAACAGACAAATGGGATTACATCAAGCTAAAAAGCTTCTGCATAGCAAACGCAACAATAAACAAGTGAACAGACAACCTACAGAATAGGAGAAAAACTGGCAAACTATCTGACAAGGGATTAATAAGCAGAATATATAAAAAACCCAAACAACTCAATAACAAAAAAGTAACCTGATTTTAAAATGAGCAAAAGATCTGAATATACATTTCTCAAAGCAGATACACAAATGACCAACAAGTCATTAGAAAAAATGATCTCTAATCATCAGGGAAATGCAACTCAAAACCACAATGAGGTATCATCTCACCTCAGTTAAAATGACTATTATTTAAAAGACAAAAAATAACAAATACTGGCAAGGATGTGAAGAAAGGGGAACACTAGTTAGTGCATTGGTGGGAATGTAAATTAGTACAACAACTATGGAGAAAAGTATGAAAATTTCCTAAAAAAACTGAAAACAGAATTACCATATGATCCAGCAATCCCATTGCTGGGTTGTCCAAAAGAAAGGAAATCAGTCTATCAGAGATAACTGCATTCTATGTTTACTGCAGCACTATTAATAGCCAAGATATGGAAACAAACGAAGTTTCTACCAACGGATGAATGGATATTAAAAAATCTGTACACATACTCAATGGAATATTATTCAGCCACCAAGGATGAAATCCTGTCATTTGTAGTAACATGGATGAAACTGGAGGACACTGATAGGTGATATAAGCTAAGTACAGAAAGACAAATAACGCATGTTCTCACTCCCATGTGTGAACCAAAAAAATATAACTTCATGGAGGTAGTAATAAACTGTTGGTTACCAGAGGCCAGGAAGGATAGTGGGGACGTGTGGTATGAAGACAAATTGGTTAATGGGTACAAAAATACAGTTAGAAAGAGTAAGTTGTAGTGTTTGATTTAACAATTGGGTAACCATAGTTAATAATAATTTATTTATATTTCAAAATAGCTTTAGAATGTTCCCAAAATAAAGAAATACATTTTTGAGGTGATAGATATGTCAACCATTCAGATTTGACCATTATATATTGTATGCTTGCATCAAAATATCACATGTACCACATAAATTTGTACAACTATTATGCATCCATAAACATTAAAAAAATTACAATAAAACATCACCTCATACCCATTAGGATGGTCATTACCAAAAAGACAAGTGTGAGGAGGACATGGAAAAAAGGGCACTCTTATATACTGCTGGTAGGAATGAAAACTGGCAGAGCCATTACAAAAAACAGTATTGAGGTTCCTCAAAAAGTTGTAAACAGAACTTTCCTAACTATCCTAAGATCTAGCACTGGGTAAGATTCCATTTCCAAAGGAAATGAAAGCAGTATCTCAAAAATATATCTGCACTCTCAGGTTCATTGCAGCATGTATGTATATATGTATACATACCTACATAAAATTTTTAAGGCTGAATAGAATGCCATCATGTGTGTATATATGTATGTGTATGTCTATGTATGAATATATGTATATTATGTGCATGCAATGCATACACACACACACACACACACACACACACACACACACATAAAATGGCATTTTATTCAGCCTTAAAAAAGGATATTTGTGACACCTGGATGAACCTGGAAAATATTATGCTAAGAGAAATAAGCCAGATAGAAAAATACATCATCTCACTTACATGTGGTATCTAAAAAAGTCAAATTCACAGAAACAGAGAGTAGGATGGTGGTTACCACAGGTGTTAGAAATGAAGAGATATTGGGCAAAGGTAAAATTTAAAGAGATCTAATGTACACCATGGTGACAATCATTAATAATACTATATTGCATACTTGAAAGCTTCTAGGAGTAAATCTTAAGTGTTTTCACCACACACACAAAAATAGTAACTGACCAGGAGTGGTGGCTCACCCCTGTAATCCCAGCAATTTGGGAGGCTGACAGGGGAAGATTACTTGAGCCCAAGAGTTCAAGACCAGCCTGGGCAACACAGTGAGACTTCCTTTATCTAAAACAAAACAAAAAGTATGCAAAGAGATGAATATGATAATTATCTTGACTAATAATCAATTTCGTTTTATACCTTAAATTTTTAAAAATAAATAATAAAATATAATTCATCATTCTCAGTTATCTCTTATTTTCTCTAGTTTTCTTCATAATTTACCGTATCTCGAAATTACACATTTGTTCATTTCTTCCTCGATTAGAACATATGCTCTATGAGAACAAAAATTTAGTCTGTTTTTGTAACCTCTGTATTCTTAAAATACCTGAAATACAGCCTGGCATATAGTAAACAGTCTAAAAAATATTTGTTGAGTCACTGAATAAAACAAACTTGGAAGAGATCTGAGAGATAATAACAAACATTAACCAAAGAAGAGGGAGAGCTAATATATGAACTGATGAAAAACATCTTTCCTACTTGTAGTTTTTGTTTGAAACCTAAGAGCGCATACATTGTTCCCTACAGTTCCTACCATACGTTTTGATTTCCTAAACAGTATGTAAGTTAAATTAGATTTACCTTCAAACAACTACACATGGTGCAGCCGTGCAGCGGAAAAAGCAACAGATGGGGAGTTAGGAGACATATGTTCTAGATCCAGATTTGCAATTAACTTGCTTTGTGACTTTGGGAAAAACACTTCCCTCCTGTGGGCCTCCGTTTCCTCATATTTTGGAGTACCTCGAGGATGAGAAGCGATTTTGTTTTTCCTGCTGTATCCTAGGCGCTTACAGTAATGCTGGCCCTGAGAAATCTCCTGAATGACTCCGTGAATGAACACACAAAATGAGGAGGCCGTACTACATTTCTGAACCTTGCTTATGAAGAAACACAGGCGGCAAACAATGAGTTTAGTTTACCAAGCGCTTTCTCTTTCTTTCTTTCTCTCTTTCTTTTTTAGTTTGAGACGTAGTTTCACTCGTGCCCCGGCTGGAGTGCAATGGCGCAATCTCAGCTCACTGCAACCTCTGCCTCGCAGGTTCATGCGATTCTCCTGCCTCAGCCTCCCGAGTAGCTGGGATTACAGGCGTGTGTATTCCTACGCCCGGCTAATTTTTGTATTTTTAGTAGAGACGGGGTTTCGCCAAGTTGTCCAGGCTGGTCTCAAACTCCTGGCCTCAGGTGATCCTCCCGCCTCGGCCTCCCACACTGCTGGGATTACAGGAGTGAGCCACCACGCCCGGCCTATCAGGCGCTTTGTGTTTGCAGACAACACACTGGGTGCCTCGCACATGAGGTTAATCCTGTTTGCTTAATAAATGAATGAGTGAAGTGAAAGGGAAAGGGGGTGGTATTTCCGTTATAAGATGAGAAAACTAAGGCCGAGAGGGGAAGAGATTGGGTCCCACCACTCAATGAGTGCTTCTCAACTCGGGACCCTAACGGGACCTTTTTGTCCTTGCTCTGATCAGGCGCGGGACCACGAAGGCGTAACACTCTCTTTTTGAACTCGTCCCTCTTAACTTCCCTTGAACGTGACCCACCGTCCACCCTTCAGCTTTACCTGGATCGAGACCAAAATTCTCTACGTGGTGCCCCTGAGACTTTCCACAGGAAGACTCTTCCGGCAATGCCAGACACATATCGCGCGGCCATCTTCGCTGAGATCCGCTGACCTGAGAGCGGCCCTCAGCCAACAGTGACGCGCCCAGACAGCCAATCGGATGCAAGCTCAGTGGCAAGCGTTTTCTTTTTCCGGTAGGCTCCCTCGCCCTTTGCACTCTGGGAAATGTAGTCCGGTAGCTATTGCCGGCGGCGCCTGGGTCGCGGCGCTCTTTCGGAGCATGACGGGAGTTGTAGTTGAGGGGCGTCCCGGGAATGATCCGGGTGACGCCTTCTGGTCCGGGGGCGGGCGGTCAGAGCGCTACTTGGCTGAAAGGAGGAGGACTGGCAGCAGGGAGGAGGCTCTTGCGAGGCCTGAAAGGCTGCGCAACAAGACAGGAGTGAGGGTTGGGGTTCGGGGTTGGGGGACAGCCAGGGATCGGGTCTAATATGCTACTGGGGTCGTGACCGCCTGGGGGCTGAGGCAGTCACTGGCCAGACCCAGCCAGGGATCCTCGTCTTCGTCCGGCCTAATTTCCAGCAGCCGGCTAGGCCTCACCAGAGGCTCCTTTCCGTGCAGCCGCCCCCAATTCCTGCCCCTATTCTCTGGCCGGGAGATGGCTTCCCCGAGTCCCCCGCCGGAGCCAAAGGTAAGTAAGCACCCCCCGGGATCCCCGTTGTCTCGCCACTACCCTAGCAAGGCCGCACCATTGCTTTCTCCCCCAGGCTCCCCACCAACCTCCTGACTGCCTCTTAAGGGCCAGCGCCTTGCAAGGAACTCCCCACTAGTGAGTTGGGGTGCGGTTCGTGAACAAACTGCCCACTGGCTCCTTTTTTTTTTTCCTTTTTCTAGAGAGGCTTTATAAATCGGCTTGAGAAAATAAGTAATGCTTCAGGCTAGCTCTCTCATTTGTGAGTTCTTCAGGTGAAGCACCATTTTTGACCTTCCCTTGTGTCTTCTGTTCCTGGCACAGTGCCTGGACCCAAGGAATTCGCTTAGAGAACCTCAAGGAATTGCATAGAGTCACAGGCTAGTGCAAATGGAGAATTGTAGCAGGCAGTGAGATGAGGGAAGCTTGGAGATGCCTTGGGGCAGTTCACTAACATTAAACTGTTAGGGCATAATTATTAAATGAGAAAAGCCTTATCCTTAGGTCCTTTCTAATCTGAGATGCCAGTCAGTTGCAGTTCGTTCCCAGAATTGGGCACCATATGGAACTTTCAGTTATCATGTTCCTCCTGGCCTACTTGGCCCTGATAAGTGATTGCCTCTGCCACTTTCAGTGGTAGAATTGTCCTTGAGACAAGAACTGACTGCAGAAATCATACTATTTCAGGGGTTGCTGACATTTGAGGATGTGGCTGTGTTTTTTACCCAGGAGGAGTGGGATTATCTGGACCCAGCTCAGAGAAGCCTGTATAAAGATGTCATGATGGAGAATTATGGAAACCTGGTCTCTCTGGGTAAGAATTTGCTGTTTCTCTAATTAAAATGTCTTAAGAAGGTAGAGAGAAAACAGACTAACAGAACATTTGGATGGAAACCAGTACCAAAACTGCTTTGTTCTACAGTTCTGATTCAAACCTTTAAGCCAATTGCTTCCATAACTCTAATCCCTAGATTGCTTGCAGTCACCAAAATGCAAGCCTTTCCGGCATCCTGTCTCCATAATCTCATTCCCATATTGTTCTGTACTTTCCATCCTGGCTCATCCTCCCACAGCTTTCCTCCCACCCTTTTTCACTCTGCCTTCTGGAGCCCCTGTTCCTCTTCACATAATGTTCCTTACCTCCTGGCCTTAACTGAAACCTGGCACTTTCCCAAGGACATCATTTCTCTGGCAGTTTTTCAAGTGGGGGCTGCTTATCCTCCCACATCCTCCTCCTTCCCCATCCTTTGTCTCAGTGTTGGAAGGGAGAAGTTATTGTTCTCCCAGCTTTTAAATGCTGTCCCCAAAGCATTAGTTTTCCACCTTCCGGCAAAATCTCTCCTTCTTTGAGGTGTCTTGCTTTTTCCACTCAATTTCTTTTCACTGTCTGTCAACTTTTTGTTTGGTCCCTCACACATAACTTTGTCACATGTTTCATTGTCTAACTCCTGCCATGGATGGCCTAGTTCATATTTCAGCCTCAGTGGATCTTACTTCAGGGACTCTGCTTTCCAATTTTATTCAGCATCTTGCAACATGGATCATATCAATTTTGTCATCACAGCCAGCTCCTAAATCCCAATACTCTATTCTCCGACCAGTTATTTGGCAATGGAAGTTTATTGGCTGTAACTAGACAAGGGTAACCAAAAGAGACAGGCTTTCTCCCCTTGTGGAGCTTAGTACAATTGCTCTGTCTTTCCTACTCCTTTCCACCTAAACCCATTCATTATTAACAGTGTTTCCTGTCCCCTGACGTCTCTGTTTTTTCACCAAAGTGTCCATCCTCTCTGGGCTTGCCTCCCCATCTAATCACCAGCAAGCTCTCTTACCAGCTTGTCTTTATTCTCTACCCATTCTGCAAACTTCAAATCCTGTATTTGTTATAAAATGCACCTTTTCCTCTTTTCTGTCCAAATTGCTAAACACAGCAGGAGAAATTCTCTAGCCAAAAGGATTGATGTCCTGTATGGCTTTTTTCTTCTGGTCTCTACTGGGTTTTTATGTCTTAGCAATATTTTTTGTCCTTGATTTGCTCACTGCCCTGTTCTATTTAGTGACTATTCCAAAAGCTTTCTCTCATTCAGTAGTGATGTTACTTCTGTTTGTCAGAGAAAATAAAGGCCGATAAGCACAAACTCTCAACTTCTCTGCCTCTTATCTACACACTTAAAGCTGCTCTCATCTTCTCACCTTTCTAGAAACTTACCAGTCATACTTTTTTCCCTTATAGTTTCAGTCTCTATTTCTCCCTTGGTACGCTTATTTTGATGATTGGTACTTTCATAGCTCTTCCAATAGGAAAAAAGAGAAGAAAAAAGAAAAATCTCTCCTATGAGCCAGAGTCTCCCTCTTGCTGCTGCCTGTAATTTACTACTTGTTCTTTTCATAGTTAAGTTTTTTTAAGAGTAGTCAATGTGTGTTCTGTACTTCTTTACCTCCCCTTGTGTCTGAGCCCCTTTGTCTTGTCTCCAGTACTCCCCTTAAATTGTTTAACAGTGATCTGTAATAACGTCATTGTCAAATGCAGTAGACTTTTTTGGGACCTTATTTTATTCTGTCTCTCTGTGAATATTTGAAACTCTTTATTGTTTTCCTCCATTGGCTTGCATTCTCAGACTTCCCCTCAGTGTGTACTCTTTCCTTGGGGAACCTTACCTACACTCAGATCAGCTACCACTCTGTAATGGTAAGTCTCAAATCTTTTTTTTTTTCCCGAGACATAGTCAAGCTCTGTTGCCCAGGCTTGAGTGCAGTGGCGTGATCTTGGCTCACTGCAACTTCCACCTCCTGGGTTCGAGAGATTCTCCTGCCTCAGCCTCTTGAGTAGCTGAGATAACAGGCATGCACCACCACACCCGGCTAATTTTTGTGTTTTTAGTAGAGACGGGGTTTCACCATGTTGGCCGGGCTGGTCTCAAACTCCCGACCTCAGGTGATCTGTCCGCCTCGGCCTCCCAAACTGCTGGGATTACAGGCATGAGCCACTGTGCCCAGCCCAAATCTTTACTTCCATTTAAGAAAGGTAATGGGGAGCCTAACTGCCTATGTTTAAATCCTGGTCCCATTACTTTCTTAGCCTTGTGACTGTAGTGATTTAACCTCTCTTTGCCTTGGTTTATTTTTTTTATAAAATGGAAATAATAATAGCACCTACCTCTTAGGGTTATTGTGAGCATAAACTGAATTAATATATGTAAAACATTTAAGACACTGACTAGCATGTAGTAAGTACAATATAAATATTGACTTTTATTGTCATCATCATCTTCTCTGTTGAGCTTCAAATTCCTAGTCATCTTTTGAAGACCACATAAGTTACTCACACCTGGCAAGTTTCAATCCATTAAAATCAAGGGCCTTCTCTCCAGAGTTAAACACTCCTTTCTTTGTTCTACCTTGTGTATATCCTCCTATTATTGAATTTATCATACTATACTACAGTCATTCTATATATGTTACTTTTCTAACCTCACTGATTACTGTTAGGATGGTAAATATACCGGTTTCATTTTATTTCTCTATCACTTAGCAGGACCTTTATTATATGCTTCCTAAATATTCGTATGACTGAGTAAGTATAGTTAATTTAAGACTCAGTATCTCTTAACTGGATTATTGCATTAATCCCTAAAAACTAACCCCTTGCCACTAGTCTTCTTTTTTTAAAATATTTCATCTCTACTGCTACCAAAGTGATTTTGTATTAGTTAACTGCATAAAACATATGATGGTTCCTGATGGCTTAAAGGATACAAATCTTAATTTCTTATTATATAGGACCTTCCAAGTATAGCCTCTGCCTAGCCTTCTTGCCTCACCTGTTTTTTCCTGCATACCACTTTAGTCTTCAGCCGTATCAGCTGCTGGTGTGTGTGTGTGTGTGTGTGTGTGTGTGTGTGTGTGTTAATATGCCATGATGTCTCCCAGTCACTGCCAGCTTATCCATATATTAATAGTATTCTGGTTGAGAGAACCAGATAAGTGCCCAGCCCTACCTTCCTCTAAAACTGCAGCATGTAAATACCACATGGACAAGGTATGACAGTGTGCCTATAGGTGATCTTGTACTTGTCTTCTTTATTTCAACTTAAATACAGCTTTCCATCATTCATCATTTCTTCTCTCACAGGAGTCTTTTCATCCTCCTCAGTAGACCCTATCTCCATCCTTTTGGTGAGAGCTTCCATGATGAGAGGTCACTATTACTCTACTGTTGCAATGCAGTATTCTCTTCTACTTCATCTTACTGCTGTTCATAATGCAACTCTGGACTAGCTTTATAGTTTTAGCTTTTCATTTATACTTTTCCTTTTCAAGCTGATTTAAAAAAAAAATTAATAGCTACATTGATGATACAGTTGATAGCTTAATATCTCAGGTCATGGCCGTCTTCCATTTTCATAACTCTTTCAGTCGGCTTGAGCCCAGATTGGATCTTAAGAGAACTGGAATGGCTGTATGTACAAGACCTTGAAACTTACTGTTTTTCTTCTTTGGTTATAGTCTTGAAAATTCATTGAATTCATTAATTCATTCAATGAATAGTTATCAAACACTGTGCTACACCCTAGAAATTTTAGTTTTTGACCATTCTCCCATTCTTTTATGTCATCCAGGAAAACTGTTCATTTTATAGTCTGCTATATGTTGGCTAGCGAGATTGGCAACTATGGCCCACAGGCCAAATCTGGCACATTGCCTGTTTTTGTAAAGAAAATTTTATTGAAATGCAGACATCCCATTTATGTATTGTATGATTACTTTCATGCTATAATGGCAGAATTGAGCTGTTGCAACACTGACCCTATGATTCAGAAAGCCCAAAGTATTTGTTGTTAGGTTCTTTACAGAAAAAGTGTGCCAACTCATATTCTATACTAAAGTTTATTTACTTCTACTTTCCTATTTCCTTGCTCTCTCTCCCTCCCCACAGCTATGATGTTATTAAAACTGTTTGATTTCAGATTATAGAAATCAATTCAAGCAGCTTAAGACAACAAGGGAAATTCCTATAGGGATATCTTATAGACTATATGGGCATGGTTACAGCTGGACATCAGAAAAGGACTGCAACCAGAAACTGAATCATTCTCAGAATGTCAGGAATTACTATCTGTCTTAGCTCAGGCTACTATAGCAAAATATCAAAGACTGGATGATTTAAACAGTAGATATTTATCTCTCAGTTCTGGAGGCTGGGAAGTCAAAGATCTAGGTGATTGCAGACTCAGTTCCTAGTGAGGGCCCTCTTGCAGGCTTGTAGATGGCCACCTTCTTACTGTATGTTCACATGGCAGAAGGAGAGAGAGAGAGAGAGAGAGAGAGAAAAGAAAACAAATGTTCTGGTCTTTGTTCCTCTTTTTATAAAACACTAATCCCATTTTGGGGGCCCCACCGTCATTACCTCATCTAAATTTAATTACTTCCCAAAGGCCTTCCTCCAAATACCATCACGTTGTGGATTAGGGCTTCACCATATGAATTTTTGGTGGGTACACAAATATTCAGTCTATAACACTGTCTTACCTCTTTTTTCTCTTTGACAGTTTAGTCTTTCCTCCTTATGTTCACATACTATCATCCTTTCAGCTTATGGTTTGATAGGCTACAATTCTAGCTACCTTCAGAATAACTAGCGATTTCAGTTTCAATTCCAGGCTCTTTGGTGAGACCCACTTTGCATCAACTATCTACTGTAGAAAAATTAGCTATGACCACAGGATGGGAAGATATTGTATAAGCATTGCCAAGCCCAAATCTAATGGATAGTCATTTCAAGGCTGCACTGTGTGAAAGCCTTACACTTGTTTTCTTCACCTGCCTATCCTGTTGACATATTTATTTTTATGCCAATGTCATTATTTTATTTGCTTTAACAATATATTACATTTTATGTCTAGTAATATAAGTCATTCTTTAAAAATCTTTTTCAGGATGTACTTAACTATCTGCCTTCTAGTTAAAATTTAGATTTTTTTGACTTTTTTGTTGGTTCATATGATTTTTTTTATTGGAATCTGATTAGTTTCATAGATTAAAAAGAATTGAGATCCTTATAATACAGAATCTCTTTAGCCATTTGGTTGACTCTAATTGTCCTTTTGTCTTTCAGAAAAATGGTATGGAATTTTTTATGGATCTTACACATTTCTTATGTTTATTCCTAGGTTTTATGTTTTTTGTTACTATCGTGAGGAGCTTATATCATTTCTCTATGGTATTTACCAACATTTTGTAGTAAGAAAAAGCATTTTAATCTTATTAGGTTTATATTTTCATTGGCTTCTTTCAGGAATTTCAGGTATACATTCATGTCATCTTCATATAATGATAATTTTGTCTTATTCTTTTTGATGAAATTGACAGAACGGTATCCACTGAACTAATATTATGAAGAGACTGCCTTCTCACAAAGAATTTACAATCCAGTGGAAGAGACAAACAAATAACAAGCAGTTAAAAAGTGCAGTGTAGGCCGGGCGCGGTGGCTCAAGCCTATAATCCCAGCACTTTGGGAGGCCGAGGCGGGTGGATCACGAGGTCAAGAGATCGAGACCATCCTGGTCAACAAGGTGAAACCCTGTCTCTACTAAAAATACAAAAATTAGCTGGGCATGGTGGTGCATGCCTGTAATCCAGCTACTCAGGAGGCTGAGGCAGGAGAATTGCCTGAACCCAGGAGGCGGATGTTGCAGTGAGCTGAGATCACGCCATTGCACTCTAGCCTGGGTAACAACAGCGAAAACTCCGTCTCTAAAAATAAATAAATAAATAAAATAAAAATAAAAAGGGCAGTGTAATAATAGCTATAATAGAGTTTTGGATGAGGGCTGGTACTAAAAAATAGAACACTAAATCTGTCTAGTGGACTTAGTAAAGGCTTTGTAAAGGAACTGTTGCTTTAATCTTAGATTCCTTTGAATTTTAAAGTGAAACCAAGAGTTTTCCAGGTAAACAGTGTTAAGGGACATTTAGTAAATGAGATATGTAAAGATATCAAAGACTGTAACACAAGCAAATTGCCTACATAAAGCATGATAAAGCAGGTAGAAACATGAATTGGGGCTTAGAGATTTGTGTCCTGAAGATTTGTATCATAGTAAAGAGCTTTGATTTGATCTTAAAGGTGATGGGGAGCTGCTAAATCTACAGGTGATGACATGAGTAGAATTCCATTTTATAGAGATCTCTTCTGGAATCAGTAAGGCATATATAATGTGTTGGCAGCCTGAAGATTGGAGCCAAAGATTATAAGGCAGCTACATGATTGTGAGAGTTAAAAGGTAGGTGATAGAAAAAAATCTAGGATTTGGATGATTGATCAATAGTAAAAAGAAGCAAGAAATATAGGAGGATGATTCCTGCTTTGGAACTGTAGGATAATGCATGATGGTGCCTCTCAAGAGATAATTAAAGGTGAGAAGAGACATGAGAGCAGATGATGATGACCATGTTAATTTTGAGCCCTTTGTGAGGCATTTAACTGGAGATATTTGGAGGGTGTATATACAGAACAAGTAAGGATGTAAATGTGGGTAACAATAACAAAAATTAGTTGACAAAGGAAAAGAAATAAATGAGGGAAATTTATCAGAAAAGGACAAAGAAGTAGGGAGGGAAATAAAAGAATGTAATAGTGTAAAAACTAAAATCAAATAATGTCAAGAAACTGGGGTGGTCAACAGTGTCAGGTGCTGCTGAATAACATAAGGACTGAAAAATGCCCATTTTAGGCTGGATACGATGGCTCACCCCTGTAATCTCAGCACTTTGGGAGACCAAGGTAGGTGGATCACCTGAGGTCGGGAGTTTGAGACCAGCCTGGCCAACATGGTGAAACCCCCTCTCTACTAAAAATACAAAAAGTTAGCCAGGCATGGTGGCAGGCACCTGTAATCCCAGCTACTAGGGAGGCTGAGGCAGGAGAATCGCTTGAACCTGGGAGGTAGAGGTTGCAGTAAGCCAAGATCATGCCATTGCACTCCAGCCTGGGTAGCAAGAGTGAAACTCCATCTCAAAAAAAAAAAAAAAAAAAAAATGCCCCTTTTTTAAAAATTTGAGTCACTGATGAACTTATAAGAAGTTTCTCTAGATGCTGGAAACAGAAACCAGATTTTGCCATAGGTTGCAGAATAGCTTGAATAGGAAGAGGTTGGGCATGGAAAATATAGGAAATAGAAAACTATGATGTTAAGATTTTTTTTAAATGCTTGGATTTCATAAAGAAAAGATTTCAGGTTCAAGATAGAGTTGAACATATTTATGTAATGGTAGGAAAGTGTCATTAGAGAATGTATATTGAAGAAAGAGGAAAAACTGGGGATAATTAAGCAACTGCCCAGAGGTGAGTGGGGTCAATAAAGGGTGGATGGATTATCTTTGCATAGGAGTGGGATATATCCTTATGTACCGTTGGCAGATAATTTCATAGGTAGAGGACAGAAAGCTGAGGGAATTCTTTTTTCATTATGTGAAAGAAAATACAGTCTACTGAAAATGAATTTGAGATGGGATATTATAAGTAACCTTAGAAGAAATAGAGTTTCTAGTAGTTTCTTAGGGGAATAAGAGAAGGGTTTTTTTAGAATAAAATAATGACTGGTTTGAAGTAAACAAATAGAAAATTCAAAGATGACTCCATAAAAAATTGAGAGAAAAGAGGATGTATGAAAAAGGAGCTTGTTTAGGCCAAAATATAAATTTGGTCATAATTGAATCTTCTAGCAGAATTATCTAATATCTATTCTAGCAAGAGATAGAAAATCAGGAAGATGTCAGAAGCAGGCCTAAATGTACTATATGCCACTCTGTTATATCACAGATTACTGTGCTGTCTTTTCTTCAACACATGCAAGATTTTCATTTCTCAGATGTCATGTAGCCTCTCAGTTGGAACAAGATGGTGAACCTTGGGTCTTATATTGTTAGAGAGTTTAGAATCACTTGTACCTGAGGTATGACTTGTGGTAAGTGAAGCCATAAGCTACCACAGACTGCCCTTTTTTGTTGTTGCTTCCGTGAACTGTGACCATGTTTCTTAATACTTATTTAACTCTGTGTCTTGATATCATAGACTCTCTGTCCCCTAACCCTTTATTATTGTTTTTAAAAGCGATTTTGTCTCTTTATATAGGAACTGCTTTTTACTTAATATTTTCTTTATCATATTATTTTCTTTCCCCATTTTTACTTAACATCCATTCCATTTGGCAGGGAGGCTTCACATCTTATCTCTGAATCCTGGTTTATTATATTGTTTCTGGAGTGCTTTTGATGGACAGTGAATAAATGCTTATTAATGAATGAATTATTGTTTCCCCTAGTTCTTCGTCTTTTATCTTTCTTAGCATCTTTTTTTATTATTATTATTTTGAGTTAGGTCTCATTCTATTGCCCAGGGTGGAGTGCAGTGACATGATGATGCCTCGCTGCAGCTGACCTGTTGGGCTTGAGTGATCAATCCTCCTGCTACCTGGGTAACTGGGTCTACATATTTGCACTACCATACCTGGCTAATTAAAAAAAAATTTTTTTTTTGTAGAGATGAAGTCTCACTGTTGCTCAGGTTGGTCTCAAACTCCTGAGCTCAAGTGATCCTCCCACCTCAGTCTCTCAAAATGATAGGATTACAGGCATAAGCCACTATGTCCAGCCATTAGCTTTTGGTCCCTTCTGTTAATTATATGGTCTGATCATATTCCAATAATGCTTTCTCATCCTAAATTTTCCTGAACTTAGTGGGATTTTTTTTCATCCTACCCTGTTTTCCTTGATGGACTGATTAATCCCACTTGGTCTTGATTTATTTTCTCTGTTTGCCCATCTTACTTTGTTTCTCCTTGCCTTAAAGACCTTGATTGATCTTTGTATTTCCTGTTTATTATTCCAGATGTTTTGAACAGAGATAAAGATGAGGAGCCAACTGTAAAACAAGAAATTGAAGAAATTGAGGAAGAAGTGGAACCACAGGGTGTAATAGTTACAAGAATCAAAAGTGAAATTGACCAGGATCCTATGGGTAGAGAAACCTTTGAACTTGTTGGTAGGTTAGATAAACAAAGAGGGATCTTCTTATGGGAAATACCAAGGGAATCTTTGACCCAGGAACAGAGAATGTTCAGAGAAAACACTAACATTATCCGTAAAAGACCAAACTCAGAAGAGAAATGCCATAAATGTGAAGAATGTGGAAAGGGTTTTGTCCGCAAGGCCCATTTCATTCAACATCAAAGGGTCCATACTGGTGAGAAACCTTTTCAGTGCAACGAATGTGGGAAAAGTTTTAGTCGCAGTTCATTTGTTATTGAACATCAGAGAATTCACACTGGAGAAAGGCCCTATGAATGTAACTACTGTGGAAAAACCTTTAGTGTGAGCTCAACCCTTATTAGACATCAGAGAATCCACACTGGAGAAAGACCCTATCAGTGTAATCAGTGTAAACAGAGCTTCAGCCAGAGAAGGAGCCTTGTTAAACATCAAAGGATTCATACAGGTGAGAAACCCCACAAATGTAGTGACTGTGGGAAAGCCTTCAGTTGGAAATCACACCTTATTGAGCATCAGAGAACTCACACTGGTGAGAAACCTTATCACTGTACCAAATGTAAGAAGAGCTTTAGTCGAAATTCATTGCTTGTTGAGCATCAAAGAATTCACACTGGGGAAAGACCCCATAAATGTGGTGAATGTGGGAAAGCCTTTCGATTAAGTACATACCTTATACAACACCAAAAAATCCACACTGGGGAGAAGCCTTTTCTTTGTATTGAGTGTGGAAAAAGCTTCAGTCGGAGCTCATTCCTTATTGAACATCAGAGGATCCATACTGGTGAAAGACCTTATCAGTGCAAAGAGTGTGGGAAAAGTTTCAGTCAACTTTGTAACCTTACTCGTCATCAGAGAATTCACACAGGAGACAAGCCCCATAAATGTGAGGAATGTGGAAAAGCCTTTAGTAGAAGCTCAGGTCTTATTCAGCATCAGAGAATTCACACCAGGGAGAAGACTTATCCATACAGTGAAACTAAGGAAAGTTTTGATCCAAATTGCAGTCTTGTTATACATCAGGAGATCTACCCTAAGGAGAAATCTTATAAATGTGATGAATGTGGGAAAACTTTCAGTGTTAGTGCTCATCTTGTACAACATCAAAGAATCCACACTGGTGAAAAGCCCTATCTATGTACTGTCTGCGGGAAAAGCTTCAGTCGAAGCTCATTTCTTATTGAACATCAGAGAATCCATACTGGTGAGAGACCCTATCTGTGCAGACAGTGTGGCAAAAGCTTTAGTCAGCTTTGTAATCTTATTCGACATCAGGGTGTTCACACAGGTAATAAACCCCATAAATGTGATGAATGTGGAAAGGCCTTTAGTCGGAACTCGGGTCTTATTCAGCATCAGAGAATACACACAGGAGAGAAACCTTATAAGTGTGAGAAGTGTGACAAAAGTTTCAGTCAGCAGCGCAGTCTTGTCAACCATCAGAAGATTCATGCAGAGGTGAAAACCCAAGAAACCCATGAATGCGATGCTTGTGGTGAAGCCTTTAATTGCCGCATATCTCTTATTCAGCATCAGAAATTGCACACAGCATGGATGCAATAAATGTAGAGCAATACGTAAGCTCAATTTGATTTGAGACTAGTTACCCAAGTGCAGTTTTAGTATGGCTCAACATGGTCAGATTTAGTGATAAAAGCAAATTCTCCTTGGCCTCAGGCAAATGGTTTCTAAAGATTCTGTGAATAGTGGACAACTACCCATGAGCAACTGACTTCCATTACTCTTTGTTTGATGATCATAGAGAAAGACTTGGTAATTTATCTAAGTATCCTTAATAAATTTTCCAGCAGAGAGATTAAACCCAGGTTCAGAGCATGAGTACTCTGAGGGACAAAGTTGAATTCGTATAAGGGAGCTGGAGCAGCTGATGTTGGAAAACAGAATAATAATTCAAAGAGTCTTCTGTCACATCTCATATTGTGGTTCTTTTAGTTCCATGATATGTTTGGCTCTGCATGCCAAAGTCCAGTGATTAAGCATATATAAGTTGTCAAGGAAACAAAGCCCAGATGTTTTTGAAACCAATGTACAGTTTTTGTTATTGTTTAAGAAAGCCACTTGTTTGGCATGTGAGTTAAAGGCGGTTCCAATGCCTAATGGTTCCCAGATTTATGAAATGAGTGGACCGTTAACTTTATATGTAAAGATTATGTTGGTAATTAAGAAACCTAACAAAGGTGTTACCAAGGAACCTTTGGGAGTGCCTTTTTGTTTTTCAAGATGGACCCAAAAAAGTGTAGGAAGATACTGTTCTTTTGTGTCCTCCTATCTGTGAAAGATATTTGTAGTCCTATGTGAATAAGCTTATTCCTCCACAACCAGGTGCATATAAAAGTGTACATATTTTGATTGCCAAGAATCGGAAATAAAAAGACCTGGAGTCTATGCTAGGAAGCTGAGATATTTTGGTATTGCATTGGTTTTTATGGTAACTAGGTTTTGCATGCAATTAAAAATCCTTGTTTCTTATTCTAGGGCTTCCCTTAGTTAATGTTCATTATAAACTATTAATTCATCTGTTTTAATCATTAAAACCTGTTTTGTTTTTTGCTTTGTGTAAGAGTTGTTACTTTAGTATAAAACCAATTCTGTCAAACACATTACTGTGTTTTTAAAATTAGAATCAAAGATAGGAAGGAAATTGCTCTCATTTGTTCTGCCTGTGACTCCTTAACCTTTTCTGGAATAGTTCAGCTAAACCCAGGTTCTTTCATTTCTGAGTATAGAATTCCAAATTACCAGAATTCTGTAATTACAGCTTTCTAATAGTTTGAGCAGACAATCCCTGCCTTTCTCCTGTACCTCAGTCATTTTAAATATTACCTCCAGACTTTTGTCTTCCCATCTCTTTATGTGTGTACCTGCATGTGAGTGTGGAGATTATGGTACATGTATAGAAAGATACCTATCTTTGTGCACTCCCTAATTCAAATTAGGTACTCATAGTTATTATACAGTTGACATTTCAAAACAATTTGTAGTCCAGTGAAAAGTACAAAACAAACATATTGCACCTGAATCTTCTATAAAATTATCCTGCCCTTGGTCTTCCTAGTTTTATTTATTTTACACCTGTGGTTCCCAGATCAGGATCTCAACTAAAGAGGTTTTTAGACCTGTTCTCAGAATTGAAAAATCTAATGTGTATGTTTTCACTGCATGCACACTGAAACACGTTTCTTTGCTTTTTGTAGAAGTCACATCAGTTTCATGTGTGGTTATCTTCTACAGCAGAAGCACTGGCTGCTGTTGGCTTCATAGTAGTTTGAGGCCATGGTTGTATGAGGTATTCCTACATAATTTTTAAAATTCTTGGATATGACAACTGGAGTGACAACTTAGAAACTCCAGTAGCAGTGAACAATTCTTGACTGCATATGCAAATCATTGCTTGTAAAAAACATAGCCCCTAAATATTTATATTTTTAATTAAACTTTAAGTTCTGGGATGCATGTGCAGAAGAACATGCAGGTTTGGTACATATGTGCCATGGTGGTTTGCAGCACCCATCAACCCATCATTTACATTAGGTATTTCTTTTTTTCTTGAGATGGAGTCTTTCTCTGTCACTGAGGCTGGAGTGCAGTGGCACAATCTCAGCTCACCGCAACCTCTGCCTCCCAGGTTCAAGCCTCAGGAGGCCTCAGCCTCCCAAGTAGCTGGGATTACAGGTACCCACCACCACACCCAGCTAATTTTGTATTTTTTAGTAGAAAAGGGGTTTCACCATGTTGGCCAAGCCGGTCTTGAACTCCTGACCTTGTGATCCACCTGCCTTGGCCTCCCAAAATGCTGGGATTACAGGCATGAACCACCGTGCTCAGCCAACATTAGGTATTTCTCCTAATGCTATCCTTCCCATTACCCCCAACCCCTGACAGGCCCTGGTGTATGATGTTCCCCTCCCTGTGCCCATGTGTTCTCATTGTTCAGCTCTCACTTATGAGTAAGAACATGCAGTGTTTGGCTTTCTGTTCCTGTGTTGGTTTGTTGATGATGGTTTCCAGTTTCATCCATTTCCTGCAAAGAACATGAACTCATTCTTTTTTATGGTTGCATAATATTTCATGGCGTGTATGTGCCACATTTTCTCTATCCAGTCTAACATTGATGGTCATTTGAATTGGTTCCAAGTCTTTGCTATTGTGAATAGTGCTGCAGCAAACAATGTTTGTAAGCGTCTTTATAGTAGAATGATTTATGATCCTTTGGATATATACCCAGTAATGGGATTGCTGGGTCAAATGATATTTCTAGTTCTAGATCCTTGAGGAATTGCCACACTGCCTTCCACAATGGTTGAACTAATTTGCACTCCCACCAACAGTGTAAAAGTATTCCTATTTCTCCATATCCTCACCAGTATCTGTTGTTCCCTGACTTTGTAATGAACACCATTCTGACTGGCATTAGATAGTATCTCATTGTGGTTTTGATTTGCATTTCTCTAATGACCAGTGATGATGAGCTTTTTTTCATATGTTTGTTGGCCTTATAAATGTCTTCGTTTGAGAAGTGTCTGTTCCTATCCTTTGCCCACTTTTTAATGGGGTTTTGTTTTTGTTTTTGTTTTTTTGTAAATTTGTTTAAGTTTCTTCTAGAGTCTGGATATGAACTCTCTGTCAGGTGGATAGATTGCAAAAATTTTCTTCCATTCTGTAGGTTGCCTGTTCACTCTGATGATAGTTTCTTTTGTGAGCAGAAGCGCTTTAATTTAATTAGATCCCATTTGTCAATATTAGCTTTTGTTGCAATTGCTTTTGGTATTTTAGTCATGAAGTCTGCTCATGCCTAAATCCTGAATGGTATTGCCTAGGTTTTCTTCTAGGCTTTTTATGGTTTTAGGTTTTATGTTTACATCTTTAATCCATCTTGAGTTAATTTTTTATAAAATGTGAGGAAGGGGTCCAGTTTCAGTTTTCTGCATTTGGCTCACCAGTTTTCCCAACACCTTTTATTAAATAGGGTATCCTTTCCCCATTGCTTGTTTTTTTAATCAGATTTGGTTGTAAAGTGTGATATTATTTCTGAGGCCTCTATTCTGTTCCATTGGTCTATATTTCTGTTTTGGTACCAGTATCATGCTGTTTTGGTTACTGTAGCCTTGTAATATAGTTTGAAGTCAGGTAGTGTGTTGCCTCTAGCATTGTTCTTTTTGCTTACGATTGCCTTGGCTACATGGGCTCTTTTGGTTCCATATGAAATTCAAAATAGTTTCCAATTCTGTAAGCTTGATGGGAATAGTATTGAATCTATAAATTACTTTGGGCAGTATGGCCATTTTTACTTACAAATTTATTTTTTAAAAAAACTGTTAAGTGTCCACTTCTGTTTCCCAAGAAAATTATACAGGTATGCAGAGAGCTCTAGAGAGGGAAATGAAGTATCCAAAAGAGAAGGGAAGGAAAAAGTCAAATCAAGAGGAGGATGCTTATGATGAGGCTAAAAGATGATTACCAGGGAAGATGAATAGTATCTGAAGGTGGGGAAATTATGAGAGAACGGTAGCTACAAATTGAATTCCTGATTGCTTGGTGAATTGGGAATGTGACAGGAGGTAAGGCTGCCCTTCAGTAAGGGCAGATCAAGAGTTGTCATGCTAGGGAGACTATTCTGCCTAAAATTCTGTGGCATTATATTGTATTTAAGTATGATGTGTATATTAAAAGGGCATATATTTGAAGTATTCAGCTCTCAGTTTTCGCTACTAAACACCTTTGTAACCAGCACCAAGCTTAAGAATAGCATCACTAGTACTACAAATACTTCCCTTGTGCAACTTTCCAAATACTACCCCCAAAAATCCTATGCTCCATTTTAACTTGGGACAATTTGAAAGTGAATGGGAGGGGAAAATTTAGGGCCAGGTTTTTGTTTGTTTTTGTTTTTTTATATTTTGTTTTTTAAATTTTCACCTGGTTCTTATTAAGTGTACAGGGACCATGGTTCTTGACCTTCCTTAGATTTGTGGATCTTAATTCTCAGAAAATTGCATGTGTAAAATATTGTGCCAGGGCCTTGTTTCTGTGTAGAAACCTTGAGAGATCTTTATAGTAGTACAGGTGAGAGATTATGGTGCTTCAACTAAGGCAGTGGGAATAGGAGAAAGAGATGAATTTGGGAAATATTTATAAACAGTGAGATTTGGTTGCTAATTGGATGAGGAAACAAGGAAGAGTAAAGATTCAAAGTCAGTTTGGGTGGTTAGTGCTTTTATTTGATGAGACAGGACCAAAAAAATTACATTGTATGGAATGAGGAGATCACTAACACTTTGAATGTGTGTCGTTCTGTCTGTGAGCTAGTAAAGATATCCAGAGGCAGCTGCTCATATGGATATGGTGCTCAGCAAAAAGAATTGAGCTAGAAATTGATTTAGGAATTCACCAGTGTTTAAACACGTATGGATTAAGCTTTAAAGAAAGAGTAAAGGAAGAAAAGAAAGCCAGAGATGGAATCCTAGGGCTTACTCTATTTAGCGGGTGGGCAAAGTGCAAAGGAGCAGAAACAACCAGAAGTATGGGAAGCCCAACATATAGTGATAACTGCTATAAGAAAGTGATCCAGAAGCATGCTGGAGAGAGGCTGAGGAAGGGCTGAAGAGTGTTTAGATTTGATAATTAGAGTGTCATTAATGGGTTTCTGTAAGAACAGCTTCTGGAGTTAGGAAGAGCCAGTTTTCAGGGGGCTAAATAGAGTGGATCATCAGCTCCCAAATACTGTCAATTCTTGACAAAAATTATTCTACATTCAAGTAGTAAAAATAATAATATAATATTCTTGTCTTAAAAAGATAAATTGATTATTAGAGACCGTTATTCTGAAAGTATGCTCTTAAAAAAATAAAACTTAAGTTCTTTTATGAAATAATAGTGATTCGGGAGGATAGTTTGTTACATTTTTGTCTTTATTTTTAAAAAAGGGCAACCCTTTATTGGTTATTCTTTTTACTTGCTTGATTTTACTGTTCTATAAAGCTAGAGAATAAAACTAGATTACTCATCTGTGAATATAAAGAGGGCTGTATATGGAGATTAAAGAAAAATTTGAGTAGATAGCCAGTTGAGGGAGAGGTTGAAGATAGAGGAGAGCAGAATGCAAGTTGATTAAGTTATCGGATATGCTGAAATGAGTACTAGCAGTTATGGAAAGATTTTCTTCTGAAACCTTCTTCCTTCAATTTGGGAAAAAATGAAAGTGGACAGATTTGGTGTCTGGTTGGGTGACAGGAAAATCGAATTCATTTGAGATGACCCATTTGAAAAAATAGTAAATTCATGTTTTGAGGGTCAGGGAAGGAAGATGGATGGACATGGTTAGGGGTAGAGTTAGGTGTCTTGTCAATAATAATGGTTTGAAGGAGCAGCTGGGGAGAGTTGGGATTTTGTTTAGAGCCCAGCTGAAGTAAAACTTTTTAAAAATTATTTTTATTTTTTACTCCTATGGCATTGCAAGAAGTAAAAGTATGAACTTAATGAAATTACTCAAATTTATTCTGGGTATTAACATCTGAGACAATTTTGAAAAGAAAATTAAGCTTAAAGTAG